ATCAGACTCTCCTTCTCTTTCCCCAAATCAGATCGCAGCACCAGCACACGCACACGCATGTGCGCGCACACACGCTCAACTACCCCTCAATCATGCAGGACCGAGACAAAAAGAAATACCGCTGGCAGGAGAGGAGACAACTCAGACCAGCCCGCGAGTCGGTGGCCGAGGCAGGCTGCCTTCCTCAGGCTGTCCTCCACATGCGTGAAGGTTTTCGCTGTGAGCTCTCTCTCCTTTCCTCTCCTCCCTCTCTTTCTCTCTGGTCCTCAGCAACTCTGGCTGCTCGCAGTAGATGAATAGATTGCTTCCCAATGCCCGGTTCGGCGGCGGCTGCTACCTCTACTGCAAAATCCCGTGTGAGCGAGAGAGGGGGCAACAGCGTCTCCCAGAGCAGGGGGAACCAAGCCTGCCTCCCCGCCGTGATTTATGTGTGCGGTGCCTGGAGAAAGAAAGGTGGGAGGCCGGGAGGGGAGGCTGGGCGCTCCAGAGATCCCAGCTGGTGGAAAAGGCGATCAGGGGATTGGCCGTCAGCACCGCGGACAGCGCTAAGATGCGGCAGCGGCGGGGATGGGCGGGACGCGAACCCTCAGGCAGAGAAGTTAAGTTATTGGACGAGCAGAGCAGAGCAGAGAAGGGGGAGTCCAGAGGGGTGGAGGACGGGACTGCGCGCCATCACACAGTCAAGTCAGTGACAGCCTCCCGACCACACACTCGTTCTAATACTGTCGCTCACTCTCAGCGGAGGAGCTAAACCTTCGCAGCCCCTCTCCCACACACACCCCCAGACCTTCGCAGCTCACCCCTGTTCGGAGAAGAGCTTGACCCCAGTGTGGGGGTCTCCTAGTGGTTATCACCCTCCCAAAGTTCACCCACCTTGCTGCAGATTTCTGACCTATCCCTGGGGTTTCACAGAATTCCAGGCAGGAAAGATGAAGCGTAGGAAATGGAAATTTCTAGGGGGCAGGATGGCTTAGTTGAGCAAGCACTTGACAAGTTTCTGGGAGCCAGATCCAGCCCCCATACAACCTTGGAAAGTCATTTAATGCTTTTAAGTCCCATAGGTAAAATGAGGACTCAGCTTTCTTATTTTGCTACAAACAGGAAGCAAGAGGTTAAAAAGGAAATCTTGAGAACACCCAAGTTGTGGGTTGCTGCGATTCTTGTGATCTGTATAAGCTGATTCAAACGTTTGGACAGTGGGATAGGGAGACAGTCGGCCTCGCCTTTCAGCCTGTGGCTTGAGCTGGATGGAGCTGGGGACTGTCAGGAGTCTAAATCAGACAGCCGAGTCTTGGCTAAAGACCCACCTCTGAAAAAGCCAGACTGGTTTTCTACAAAGGAAGCCACTATATCGACAAGGGAATGAAAGGCATTAAGAGGGGAACTGGACAAGGAGGAATGAATCCTCCTGGCTCCCAAATCTCCAGGGAAAGGGCTTCCCATGGGAAAGAGCTCCTGTTGGGGAAAGAACAGGAAATCTCAAACAGACCACGATCACTGTAGAACTTCTCTGCACAGTTAAGGAGAAATTTCTCTGCTGGGAAATCTCATGTAAATTTTCCCACCCAAGTGGCCCAGGGAAAACTATTACATTTGTTACTTAATTCTTCCATTGAAAGCTAGGTCTTAAACTTCTGAGATCTTAGAGACCATTTAGTGTCTCATTACTATTATTATTGTTATTATTATTATTATTGTTTTTTTCTTTTAAAGAATTGTTTTTTATTTAACATTATTTATTTATTTACTTATTTATTTTCATTTTGATCAGAAAGGGTCAGAGTGAAAGAGAGAGAGATAGAGAGAGTGAGAAAGCAAGCCATCGGGTCCGGGACTCAAACTGCGGTCACCCATGTGGGAGTCCAATGCACTTAACCACTATGCCACCTGCTGGCCCTGGTTGGATTTTTTTAAAACTATGCTCTCTGATTTACCTGTACTTGGTATTTATCTTCATGAGGCATGGCATTTTTTTTAAAGGACTATTTTATTTTTCTTTCTCTCTCCTTCCTTTCTTTCTCTCTCTCTCTCTCTTTCTTCCTCCCTCCCTCCCTCCCCTCTTCCTTCCTTCCTTCCCCCTCCCTTCCTTCCTTCCTTCCTCCCTCCCTCCCTTCCTTCCTTCCTTCCTTCTTTTCTTCCTTCCTTTTTTTTCATTTGCCCAGAGAGGGACAGAGTGAGAGAGAGAGGGAAAGTGATAAAACAAACTGCCAGGTCTGTGACTCGAACCACCGTTGGCCATGTGGGAGTCCAGTGCCCTTAACCACCAAGCCACTTGGTGGCCCCATGGCATGTTTTTTTTTAAAGCAAGCATATGGTCAATAATAATCAAATCAAGGATGGACATACGTTCATCTTCTTCAACATAGAACATTATATTCTGTTGTACACATTTGGTAGTAGTTCTCTTATACTAGTTTTTTTGAAATATATATTAAATTGTCCATCTTTTTTACTCTGCTGTGGTATGCCATCCCATAACCGCTTCCCCTTATTTACACACATCCTTGTGCTCATTACATTTTTTTCATGAACTATCTCCATCCCCCTGCCACCAGCAGCATCTGGTATCTACCATAACTTATAGATGAGGGTGATGATGGTGGCAGTGGTGGTGGGTAATGGTTATGGGGATGGTGTTGATAATGGTTACTGAGAAAAAAATAAGTCCCTTATTCAAGGTTACACAGAAAGTGGCACAGGATTCAAACTCAGGGTTGTATGATTCAAAAGCCCATGCTCCAGAATAGCTCCTACTTGAGTCAAATTCAAATGCATTTTACATTTTTTTTTGGCAAGGTCTCAATGAATATTTCCTGGGAAGACCCTAGGACATGAATGCAGTCTACTTACTTTACAGATGGGGAAACTGAAGACCAGAGAGAGGCAGTGACTTGCCCATAGTCAAAGTGCTAGGAAGTTGCATACTTAAGTATGGACTTTCAAGTGCCAGGACCCAGTTTTTCCTCCCGAGAACAGTCCCCGACACATAGGAAACCCTAAATATACATTTGAAGAGTGGATGGAGAACCCAGAGAGAGAGAAAAGTTGCACAGGATGCTGATGGTGGAGATAGAAACCAAGTTGTTCTCCAGCCTCTTGGCTTTCAGCTCCAAGGAAGTTCTGCCCCACCTTGCAGCTCCTGTGACCATTAGGCATGGATTCCAGGAGGACCTGACATGAGTTAAGCTCTTCCTTAGGAAATGAACACTGCCGCCACCTGTTACACGGCTAGAGACCAACCCTGTGTCAGCCCTTGCACTCAGCACTTCCCAGGTACTATCCCCAGGCTTCACGACTACAGGGCATGGATGGTTATCATTGCCACATTTTCAGATGAGAAGACAAAGGCCCAGACAGATAAACTGAATCCCCAAACTCTCACAACCAAGAAATGGCAGAGTCAGGGTTGCCCATCTCAAGTCTATCTGATTCCAAAGCCTCCATGTTTATCATCCTGCCAGTTCTTAGTCAAACCAGCACCCCTCCCCACAGAGTCCCCAGTAAGAATGAAAAGGAGGCCTGAATTGACCCCCACCCTGCTTTCAACTAGAACAGTTGTGCTTTTCACTGTTTTGCATTCTGGGCATCTGCCCAAGCCTTCATTGAAACGAGGGCTGTGCCGCAAAATTACAGAATAACAACATGGTTGAAATCAGAGCTCTGCACCTCCATGGTGACCACACCATCTAGGAACTAGTCCTGTCTTCTCAAGGGATCTTGCTCCACCCTCCCCACACTCCTGGTCCCCATGCTCAAACCCCTGTGTGTACCAGATGCTCCTGGAGAACTTGGTTTTAAGAACCAGCTGCTGCTCGGAGCTCTTTCAGCTTTGTGGAGTTGCAGTAAGGAGACGCCTTGAAACCAGACTCCTCAAGACTGAGCCCAGCCAGCTTTGATGGCCTCTGAGGTTTCATTCAAAGATGGAGCATGGCAAAGTGATTCCTCCAGACCCTGGAGGAATCCTGGGCCAGCAAGCAATCCTAGCTCTCTCTTGTTCTGTTGAGGCCAGAGGCAGCCTATTAAGACTCTTTGCCAACCCCAGGGAAAATGGGAAATGAAGGTGGTGAGAACCAGAACAACAAAGCAGCCCGCTATGTTCTGGGTGATTCAAGGGCACCACCACTACCATTCTCACAATGATGCTTTACTTCCACTTTACAAATGAGAAAACAAAGACTGAGATGATTAAAATAACTAACTTGAGGCTGTTTCGTTCATAAGTTGTGGGGCTGAGATTTGAACTGAGAGCCTCTGAGTTTATACCCATTATACTATATGGGGGTCACTAATTATAAGTCTTTCCCATTTATTTTTGGTGTTTATTTTTCACCAGAGGTGGAGCTTCAGCACCCCAGTGTTATTCATGGCTTACCATGGAGCAATGGGATTGGGTTACATTATTTACCCTTCTTAGAGATGAGGAAATGAGACATGGAGAGGTCAGGTGACTTGCCTAAAGTAACACAGCTAGAGAAAGCAGGGAAGACAGGGCGTGAATCTTAACAGCTACCTCAAGACCCACTGCATTCTCTTGTCTGCTAAGGAGATGGGTACTGAGATAGTCCAGAAAGATGGGTTCTATTTCACTAGCAAGAGTGTAGTCAAGATAATGATCCCCAAAGATGCTTACATCCTAATCCTCCGAAGAGGTTGATATAGTACCTTCAGTGGCAAATAGGACTTTGCAGATGTGATTAAGGATCATGAGGTGGGAAGATTATGCTGGGTTATTTGGGAGGGTCCACAGTCATCTCAAGTCATTGCAAGTCTTAGAAGGAGGCAAGAGGCATAGTCTGAGAGAAGAGGCAATGATGGAAGTAAAGGGGGAGAGAGAAAGAGACCTTGGAGGTGAGGGGCAATGTTGCTGGTCTTGAAGGGAAAAGGAGCTATGAGCTAAGAAATGTGGGCACCTCTAGAATCTGGAAAAGTCAGGAAAACAGACTTACAGCCCTCCCCTACAGCCACCAGAAGCAACACAGCCCTGCCTCTGATGCCTTGATTTGAGGACTTCGGAGCTCCAGAACCGTAAGAGAATAAACCTGTGATGTTGTAAGCCACTATGTTGGTGGTTATTTGTTATGACAGTCACAGGAGACTCATACAGTCAGTCTGCAGGAGACTCACATGAGCCCATAATAAATCAGCTTTAGGAATCACAACTGAGTCAAAGAACTCATGCTTCTATCATACTCCAACCTCCTCGGAACAATATTCCGTGAGTGCGTGCGTGTGCGTGTACACCCATGGGTGCATGCACAAGGAAACCCTACCAGAAAAAGGACTCAGAGCTTTAACCTGACCATCAAGCTTTGTCACTGGATAGCCTGACTAGGGCAACAGCACAGTCAGGACACCCCATGTTTTATTCACTCCCTCCTCCTCCTCCTCTGAGATCCTCCAGGGAAATGCTCTCATCAGGAACACAAAAGGGGAGAAATGTCCCAGGGCAGCTTTCCAGAAGCACAGTTCATCACAAGGGATCTGAAGACAGACGAAGTAAATGAAGCAGAGAGATTGGAGTGCAAGAGCGAGAA